GTCTTAACTATTCGTATAGCTTGTCGGCTGTGAGCTGATTGCCGATCTCTAGACTTCACCAATTTGATAAAAAGATGTGGTTAGTGTCTGCGCCCGCCGGGAGTCGAATCCGGGTCACAAGCATGGGAAGCTTGTATGGTACCGTTACACTACGAGCGCTTCTGTCTTAACTATTCGTATAGCTTCTCGGCTGTGAGCTGTTTGCCTAGGGTTTCTACACTTCACCAATTTGACAAGATGTGTGGCGTAGGCTCTGCGCCCGCCGGGAGTCGAACCCGGGTAACAAGCATGGGAAGTTTGTATGATACCGTTACACTACGAGCGCATGAGGAGAGATCTCTCATGATTTCCGATTCCTTGAAACCGAGGTCCAACCCGCCATGCTCCCATCGATACTGCATATACCGTCGAAGTCGACGCTGAAGGTGATACGGCAGTCGTCGCCACTTCATGTACCTTCCCAAGTTGAGCATCGCGCTCTTGTGCTGAACATTTCTGCCGAAAAACTGATGAACCACTTCCGTCACCGCACCGACCATACCAGAGAAGGCGACGATCGAGACGAGTAGGAAGAACGCTGTGAAGGCTTGTATGATACCGTTACACTACGAGCGCTTCTGTCTTAACTATTCGTATAGCTTCTCGGCTGTGAGCTGATTGCCTAGGGTTTCTACACTTCACCAATTTGGTGAATTGTTGAAGTGGGGTAGGTTCTGCGCCCGCCGGGAGTCGAACCCGGGTCATAAGCTAGGAAGCTTGTATGATACCGTTACACTACGAGCGCTTCTCTTCTAGTTATTCGTATAGCTGCCCGGCTGTGAGCCGATTGCCGATCTCTAGACTTCACCAATTTGATAAGATGTGTGGTATAGGCTCTGCGCCCGCCGGGAGTCGGACCCGGGTCACAAGCATGGGAAGCTTGTATGATACCGTTACACTACGAGCGCTTCTGTCTTAACTATTCGTATAGCTTCTCGGCTGTGAGCTGATTGCCTAGGGTTTCTACACTTCACCAATTTGGTGAATTGGTGAAGTGGGGTAGGTTCTGCGCCCGCCGGGAGTCGAACCCGGGTCACAAGCATGGGAAGCTTGTATGATACCGTTACACTACGAGCGCTTCTATCTTAGCTATTCGTATAGCTTCTCGGCTGTGAGCTGATTGCCTAGGGTCTCCAGACTTCATCAATTTGATAAGGAGATGTGGGTATAGTCTCTGCGCCCGCCGGTAGTTGCACCCCCGGTCACAAGCATGGGAAGCTTGCATGATACCGTTACGTTACGAGCGCTTCTGTTTTAGCTATTCGTATAGCTGCCCGGCTGTGAGCCGATTGCCTAGGGTCTCCAGACTTCATCAATTTGATAAGGAGATGTGGGTATAGTCTCTGCGCCCGCCGGTAGTTGCACCCCGGTCACAAGCATGGGAAGCTTGTATGAGACCGTTACGTTACGAGCGCTTCTGTTTTAGCTATTCGTGTAGCTTCTCGGCTGTGAGCTGATTGCCTAGGGTTTCTACACTCCACCAATTTGACAACATGTGTGGCGTAGGCTCTGCGCCCGCCGGTAGTTGCACCCCGGTCACAAGCGTGGGAAGCTTGTATGATACCGTTACACTACGAGCGCTTCTGTCTTAGCTATTCGTATAGCTTCTTGGCTGTGAGCTGATTGCCTAGGGTCTCCAGACTTCATCAATTTGATAAGGAGATGTGGGTATAGTCTCTGCGCCCGCCAGTAGTTGCACCCCGGTCACAATCATGGGAAGCTTGTATGAAACCGTTACGTTACGAGCGCTTCTGTTTTAGCTATTCGTATAGCTGCCTGGCTGTGAGCCGATTGCCTAGGGTTTCTACACTTCACCAATTTGACAAGATGTGTGCCGTAGGCTCTGCGCCCGCCGGGAGTCGAACCCGGGTCACAAGCATGGGAAGCTTGTATGATACCGTTACACTACGAGCGCTTCTGTCTTAGCTATTCGTGTAGCTTCCCGGCTGTGAGCCGATTGCCGATCTCTAGACTTCACCAATTTGATAAGAAGTTATGTGGTTAGTGTCTGCGCCCGCCGGGAGTCGAACCCGGGTCACAAGCATGGGAAGCTTGTATGATACCGTTACACTACGAGCGCTTCTGTCTTAACTATTCGTATAGCTTGTCGGCTGTGAGCTGATTGCCTAGGGTTTCTACACTTCACCAATTTGACAAGATGTGTGGCGTAGGCTCTGCGCCCGCCGGGAGTCGAACCCGGGTCACAAGCATGGGAAGCTTGTATGATACCGTTACACTACGAGCGCTTCTCTTTTAGTTATTCGTATAGCTGCCCGGCTGTGAGCCGATTGCCGATCTCTAGACTTCACCAATTTGATAAGAAGATATGTGGTTAGTGTCTGCGCCCGCCGGGAGTCGAACCCGGGTCATAAGCTAGGAAGCTTGTATGATACCGTTACACTACGAGCGCTTCTCTTTTAGTTATTCGTATAGCTGCCCGGCTGTGAGCCGATTGCCGATCTCTAGACTTCACCAATTTGATAAAAAGATGTGGTTAGTGTCTGCGCCCGCCGGGAGTCGAACCCGGGTCACAAGCATGGGAAGCTTGTATGGTACCGTTACACTACGAGCGCTTCTGTCTTAACTATTCGTATAGCTTCTCGGCTGTGAGCTGATTGCCTAGGGTTTCTACACTTCACCAATTTGACAAGATGTGTGGCGTAGGCTCTGCGCCCGCCGGGAGTCGAACCCGGGTCACAAGCATGGGAAGTTTGTATGATACCGTTACACTACGAGCGCATGAGGAGAGATCTCTCATGATTTCCGATTCCTTGAAACCGAGGTCCAACCCGCCATGCCCCCATCGATACTGCATATACCGTCGAAGTCGACGCTGAAGGTGATACGGCAGTCGTCGCCACTTCATGTACCTTCCCAAGTTGAGCATCGCGCTCTTGTGCTGAACATTTCTGCCGAAAAACTGATGAACCACTTCCGTCACCGCACCGACCATACCAGAGAAGGCGACGATCGAGACGAGTAGGAAGAACGCTGTGAAGGCTTGTATGATACCGTTACACTACGAGCGCTTCTGTCTTAACTATTCGTATAGCTTCTCGGCTGTGAGCTGATTGCCTAGGGTTTCTACGCTTCACCAATTTGGTGAATTGTTGAAGTGGGGTAGGTTCTGCGCCCGCCGGGAGTCGAACCCGGGTCACAAGCATGGGAAGCTTGTATGATACCGTTACACTACGAGCGCTTCTATCTTAGCTATTCGTATAGCTTCTCGGCTGTGAGCTGATTGCCTAGGGTCTCCAGACTTCATCAATTTGATAAGGAGATGTGGGTATAGTCTCTGCGCCCGCCGGTAGTTGCACCCCGGTCACAAGCATGGGAAGCTTGTATGATACCGTTACGTTACGAGCGCTTCTGTTTTAGCTATTCGTATAGCTGCCCGGCTGTGAGCCGATTGCCTAGGGTCTCCAGACTTCATCAATTTGATAAGGAGATGTGGGTATAGTCTCTGCGCCCGCCGGTAGTTGCACCCCGGTCACAAGCATGGGAAGCTTGTATGATACCGTTACGTTACGAGCGCTTCTGTTTTAGCTATTCGTGTAGCTTCTCGGCTGTGAGCTGATTGCCTAGGGTTTCTACACTCCACCAATTTGACAAGGTGTGTGGCGTAGGCTCTGCGCCCGCCGGTAGTTGTACCCCGGTCACAAGCGTGGGAAGCTTGTATGATACCGTTACACTACGAGCGCTTCTGTCTTAGCTATTCGTATAGCTTCTTGGCTGTGAGCTGATTGCCTAGGGTCTCCAGACTTCATCAATTTGATAAGGAGATGTGGGTATAGTCTCTGCGCCCGCCGGTAGTTGCACCCCGGTCACAATCATGGGAAGCTTGTATGATACCGTTACACTACGAGCGCTTCTGTCTTAGCTATTCGTGTAGCTTCCCGGCTGTGAGCCGATTGCCGATCTCTAGACTTCACCAATTTGATAAGAAGATATGTGGTTAGTGTCTGCGCCCGCCGGGAGTCGAACCCGGGTCACAAGCATGGGAAGCTTGTATGATACCGTTACACTACGAGCGCTTCTGTCTTAACTATTCGTATAGCTTCTCGGCTGTGAGCTGATTGCCTAGGGTTTCTACACTTCACCAATTTGACAAGATGTGTGGCGTAGGCTCTGCGCCCGCCGGGAGTCGAACCCAGGTCACAAGCATGGGAAGCTTGTATGATACCGTTACACTACGAGCGCTTCTCTTTTAGTTATTCGTATAGCTGCCCGGCTGGGAGCCGATTGCCGATCTCTAGACTTCACCAATTTGATAAGAAGATATGTGGTTAGTGTCTGCGCCCGCCGGGAGTCGAACCCGGGTCATAAGCTAGGAAGCTTGTATGATACCGTTACACTACGAGCGCTTCTGTCTTAGCTATTCGTGTAGCTTCCCGGCTGTGAGCCGATTGCCGATCTCTAGACTTCACCAATTTGATAAGAAGATATGTGGTTAGTGTCTGCGCCCGCCGGGAGTCGAACCCGGGTCACAAGCACTGGAAGCTTGTATGATACCGTTACACTACGAGCGCTTCTGTCTTAACTATTCGTATAGCTTCTCGGCTGTGAGCTGATTGCCTAGGGTTTCTACACTTCACCAATTTGACAAGATGTGTGGCGTAGGCTCTGCGCCCGCCGGGAGTCGAACCCGGGTCACAAGCATGGGAAGTTTGTATGATACCGTTACACTACGAGCGCTTCTCTTTTAGTTATTCGTATAGCTGCCTTCGGCTGTGAGCTGATTGCCGAGCGTCTCTAGACTTCACCAATTTTGATCAGGAGATGTGGGTTAGTCTCTGCGCCCGCCGGGAGTTGAACCCCGGGTCACAAGCATGGGAAGCTTGTATGATACCGTTACACTACGAGCGCTTCTGTCTTAGCTATTCGTATAGCTTCTCGGCTGTGAGCTGATTGCCTAGGGTTTCTACACTTCACCAATTTGACAAGATGTGTGGCGTAGGCTCTGCGCCCGCCGGGAGTCGAACTCCGGGTCACAAAGCATGGGAAGCTTGTATGATACCGTTACACTACGAGCGCTTCTCTTTAGCTATTCGTATAGCTGCCCGGCTGTGAGCCGATTGCCGAGCGTCTCTAGACTTCACCAATTTGATAAGAAGATATGTGGTTAGTGTCTGCGCCCGCCGGAAGTCGAACCCGGGTCACAAGCATGGGAAGCTTGTATGATACCGTTACACTACGAGCGCTTCTGTCTTAGGTATTCGTGTAGCTTCTCGGCTGTGAGCTGATTGCCTAGGGTCTCCACACTTTACCAATTTGATAAGAAGATGTGTGGTACAAGCTCTGCGCTCGCCGGGAGTCGAACTCGGGTCACAAGCATGGGAAGCTTGTACGATACCGTTACACTACGAGCGCTTCTATTTTAGTTATTCGTATAGCTTCCCGGCTGTGAGCCGATTGCCGAGGGTCTCTAGACTTCACCAATTTTATAAGAAGATGTGTAATTAGTCTCTGCGCCCGCCGGGAGTCGAACCCGGGTCACAAGCTAGGAAGCTTGTATGATACCGTTACACTACGAGCGCTTCTGTCTTAGCTATTCGTATAGCTTCTTGGCTGTGAGCTGATTGCCTAGGGTCTCCAGACTTCACCAATTTTATAAGGAGATGTGGGTATAGTCTCTGCGCCCGCCGGTAGTTGCACCCCGGTCACAAGCATGGGAAGCTTGTATGATACCGTTACACTACGAGCGCTTCTGTCTTAGCTATTCGTATAGCTTCTTGGCTGTGAGCTGATTGCCTAGGGTCTCCAGACTTCATCAATTTGATAAGGAGATGTGGGTATAGTCTCTGCGCCCGCCGGTAGTTGCACCCCGGTCACAAGCATGGGAAGCTTGTATGATACTGTTACGTTACGGGCGCTTCTGTTTTAGCTATTCGTATAGCTGCCCGGCTGTGAGCCGATTGCCTAGGGTTTCTACACTTCACCAATTTGACAAGATGTGTGGCGTAGGCTCTGCGCCCGCCGGGAGTCGAACCCGGGTCACAATGGGAAGCTTGTATGATACCGTTACACTACGAGCGCTTCTGTTTTAGCTATTCGTATAGCTTCTTGGCTGTGAGCCGATTGCCTAGCGTCTCTACACTTCACCAATTTGATGA